GCAGAATTGAGTTTCTTGCCAAAAACTATTGTGGCTGAAGTCTTTTGCTTTGAATTAAATCAACCTTGCTAACCTGGCCACAGTTTATTGGATTAGATTATTACAACCACACAGAGACCCACCATCACCCTAGACATGTAGCCAAGCATTTCCCTCATGAGTGGTGGGAAGCCTGCCAGAGTGGAGTTCATGCAGAGTAAGAGCAAACCAACCTGTCATACTGCTCTTGAAGATGTTTAATATTAACATACAAAGAGAAGACAGGTCATTCCTGTTCAGGTAAGCAAGTGTCTTGTAAAGCCTAGTTTACTATCCAATCTCAACTTGGTGCCCAAGTGACTTCTCTAAGCCTGAAAGGACAACTTCATTCCAAAGTACCCTTCAATAAACCTACACACACACACACACCCCCACACACCCCCCACAAAAAAAAAGCTAACTCTTCAAGTTTGAGAAAATTCATGTTTCAGAGCCACTTAATGCATCAGGTTTCCCTCAAGACAACAGGCAAAAACGATAAAAGCATGAAAGCCAAATGGAAGAAATATTTTCAAACTAATCACAGGTCATGATTATTGAAGTGTGCACTATTTTTTTTTTTTTTTTTTTTTGCAACTGCCAAAATTTAGACTTGGAAAAAAAAAAAGTAGGTAAAGCTTAATGTAATATAATTTTGCTGTGAAAAAGTAGGTTAAAATCAAGAGAAAAATAAGATCGTTTTGGAGCAATTTTAACTTAAACCAGTAAAATAAATAATCTATGGTAAGAGTCATTCTACTCACCTTTTCTGTATGATACATTTGTAAATCTACCACCAGATACTTATTACATAATCATTTCATTTTATAATTATGGAACAATCCTGGAATAACATAAAAGATTATGACTAATTGAAATTTTAAAATAAGCTACGACATAAACCATGACAAAAAGAGACAGAAAATCAGTATTTTTTCTTTCTCTACTTACTAGTTGTTACACAATGAAGAGCATTTGCTTGGTGCTTAGAATGTAATCCTTCTATGGAAATCTCTAGCTGCCCTTCTAGCAATGCTCCCTTTGATACATCTATGTCACACTTCCAGTGAATTATTAAAAATCTCAAAATCTGAAAAGAGCACAATTCAAAGAAAACATAATGTTCTTTAGAAATCACAGTAATAATATATCTCTATGACCCAGCTAAATTAGTAACTCTAACTTCCCCCAAAAATTGTATTCTTGCTTCTAAAATGTCAGATTTAGGTTTGTTCAGAGTGTTATGTCTAAACAAAATAAATAGCTAGGAGAATGACATAAGAAAGGAGACAGTGAAACTCAACACAATGCCCCTTAAGACAGGAAATTGAGACAATACATTCCTTTATTCAGAAGATAAATTCATCTGGAAATAATAATCAGGGAAAAATTAAGTGGGAGTTTGTTTTTCTTGTTTCTTTTTTCCTGCCCCAAATAAAAGCCAACATGAAGACTATGAATAAGAGTGATATCTGGTTATGAATCATCTTAATCTTTCATTAAATCAACACTTTTGAGGGTCAGAATACTATTTAAGAGTGCTAACGCTGCCCTGCACGGTAGCTTATGCCTGTAATCCCAGCACTTTGGGAGGCCGGGGTGGGAGGATCACTTGAGCTCACCAGTTTGAGATCAGCCTGGACAACATACCGAGACCTTATCTCTACTAACAACAACAAAAATTAGCCCAGCGTGATGGTGTGTGCCTGTGGTCTCAGCCACTGGGGAGGCTGAGGCAGGAGGATCTCTTGAGCCCAGAAGGTTGAGGCTGAAGTGAGTCCTGATCAGGCCACTGCACTCCATACCTGGATTTGAATCCCTGATGTGCCAAATTCTAGCACATGACCTTGGGCAAGTTACTTAATCTCTCCAAACCACAGATTCCTCATCTATTAAAATGGGGATAAAACTACCACATAGGGCTGCTGCTGAAAATAAACAAATAATATGTGCAAGGCTGAGTGCGGTGGCTCATGCCTGTAATCCCAGCACTTTGGGAGGCTGAGGTGGGAGAATCCCTTGAGCCCTGACATCATAGTGAGGCTCCATCTCTACTAAAAAAAAAAAAAAAAAATTAATTAATTAAAAATATGTGCAAGATGCTTAACACACTACTTGGCAAATAGCAAATGCTTAACAGATATTAGCTATTATTTCTAAGTTCTACTGCAGTAAAGACTACACACAACGTTTTAAGTTGAACAGGACTCCAAGATGTCTGGGTAAAACATTTAATCGACCGGGTGTGGTAGCTCACACCTGCAATTCCAGCACTTTGGGAGGTGGAAGCAGTGGATCACCTGAGGTAAGGAGTTCAAGACCAGCCTGGCCAATATGGTGAAACCCCATCTCTAGTACCTGTAGTCCCAGCTACTCAGGAGGCTGAGGCAGGAGAATTGCTTGAACTTGGGAGGTGGAGGTTGCAGTGAGCTGAGATTGAGTCACTGCACTCCAGCCTGGGCGACAGAGCAACACTCCTTCTCAAAAAAAAAAAAGAAAAAGAAAAAAAGAAAAAAATAACATTTATTCGAGACAAATTGCAAATAAAATATATTTCATTTATTTTTGGGCGTAGAGAGGGGACAGGGTCTCACTCTGACTCCCAGGCTGGAGTGCAGTGATGTCTTTATCATGGTTCACTGCAGCCTCAACCTCCCGGGCTCAGGTGATCGATCCTCCCACCTCATCCTCCCAGGTAGCTAGAAGTGCAGCCGGCTGCCTGCCACCACAGCCTGCTATTTTTAAATTTTTTTTATTTTTAATTT